ATCCTGGACAGAGAGGAACGATGGTTTGAGAGAGGAGTAAAGGAGGCCATCTTTGTGAAAAGAAATCGTCCATCATTAAACAGGGGTGGAGGCCTCTGGGTTCAACTGTCCCCCTCTAACAATGCTGTTATTGCTAGTATCACTCAGCCCTCTGTGAATAGTAAACAGCCATCAGTGTGCTAATGATCCAATGTTAGGCTGATAGTCCTTCTTGACCATGTGATCAGCTGGTTTTGGTTGTCAGCAGCAAACTGGTTGATGCACTACGAGAAGGTGCTATTTATAAGACGGAGGTGAATACAGCACCTCACCTCAGACTGAAGAAGTCTTTCGGATGAAAGACGAAACGTTTCTATATTTTTTTGCTTTGTTTTTTTTTTTTTTTTTTTGAATGTCCAGAGAACCAGATTGAACTTTTTTGGATTTTTCTACCTGGATTATTGAGCATGCATCAGGATATTTTGAACTACAGTCATCTCCTTTTGTTTTGTTCACATTCAAGATGAGATGATTATGTGAATTCACTCAGGCACGGATGTTGTATTGTGTACATATATGTAGGTATCTGTACATGCATGTATAAATGTATATGTCAAGGTGTATATAGGACCAGTCTCTAACATTTGAACATTGCTTGCTGTATCCGCACAAGAACTGCATCCTCTGCTCTAAAACCCAAAAAATTCATGCAAATTATGTACTACACTGCTGTGGAGACATGAAACGAAATTCCATTCAGTTCCTAATGGTGCACTGTGCAATTATGAATGACAAAAAGTTTTTAAAGTTAAAGTTAACGTGTTTACCTGCGTTATGAACACTGCTCACCCTTCACCCACTGCTCTGCCCCCACCCACGTCTCCTCAAACACCTTTCAGGGGGTCACCACACCACCTAGGCAACCCCTCCCCTCCTCATCAGCAACATAATGGACCCCAGCTGCAACCCCCTTCACCTAACAATCCTCCCCCTCCACCATCAGAGCCTCCAATCACCATCAGCAGCAGGGAGGCTGTGAGGATGGAGCTCAGCCGTCTACATCCTGGTAAGTCTGCAGGTCCAGATGAATTAAACCCCAAACTCCTTAAAGGATGTGCAGCTCAGCTGTGTGATGTTTTTCAGCACATTTTTCACCTGAGCCTGAGGGTAGTCCCTGCTCTGTGGAAAACAACATGTCTGTCCCAGTGCCAAAAAACAAAGCAGCCAAACTCACACAGTGACTACTGATCTGTGGCCTTGACATCACATGCCATGAAGTCACTGGAGAGGCTGGTCCTGAAGTACATCAGATCAGTGGTGGAACCAAACCTGGACCCCCTCCAGTTCGCATACCAGACACACATTGAAGTTGATGATGTCATCATCAACCTGCTGCACAGAACTTACACACACCTGGACAGTGTCGTGCTCTTTAACTTCTCCAGTGCTTTTAACACCATAAGACCTGCTCTACTCTGCAGTAAGCTGCAGGTGAATGACTCTCTGGTCACCTGGATCAGAAACTACCTCACAGGTTGACCACAGTATGTGAGGCTGCAGGACAGCACCTCAGACACCACACTGAGCAGCACAGGGGCTCCTCAGGGGACGGTCCTCTCACCGTTTCTGTTCACCCTCTTCACCTCGGACTTCAGGTACAACTCACAATCTTGCATCTGCAGAAGTTCTCAGATGACTCTGCCATTGTGCACTGCATCACTGGTGACCAGGAAGCTGAATACAGAGGTGGTGGACAGAACCACCTGCAACTCAACGTTGGAAAAACTAAAGAGCTACAGGAAGAAGACCATCCCCCCCCCCAACCCTATCAACATCAAGGGGTGGACACTGTGGACTGCTACCTGGGGGAAAACCTAGACAATAAACTGGACTGGACAGCTAACACCAACGCCCTCTACAAGAAAGGGCAGAGTCGTCTTTTTCTTCTGAGGAGACTCAGGTCCTTTAACATCTGTAGGACCATGCTGCAGATGTTTTACCACTTGGTGGTCTCCAGCCCACAGGTGTCAAACTGCAGGCCTCTAGGGCTGGAGTCCTGCAACTTTTAGATGTGTCTCTGATGCCACACAGCTGAATCAAATAAGGAGGTCATTAGCGGGACTTTGGAAAACTTGACTACACTGAGAAGCTAATTCACTCATATGATTCAGGTGTTTTGGACCAGAGCAACATCTAAAAGTTGCAGGACTCCGGCCCTCGAGGCCTGGAGTTTGACACCCCTGTGAAAGCTGATGCCAGCAGACTCGATAAACTCATCGGGAGAGCTGGCTCAGTTCTGGGAGTGGACCTGCAGTCTTTGACAGAGGTGTCTGAGCAGAGGATGCTGAGGAAACTGCTCCAGATCCTGAACAACACGTCACACCCCCTGCATGACACACTGGACTCTTACTGCAGCACCTTCAGTCGTAGACTGAGACCACCGAGGTGCTCCACAGAACAACACAGGAAGTCCTTTCTCCCTGTGGCTATCAAACTTTTTAACTCCTCCCCCTTTCTGCACATAAGACAATAAAATTAATCCTGCTGTTTTCACATTAAAGCATTTCACACAAGTCTGCACCTGACCCGTTTAGATCTTAATTGCTGAATTCAAAAAACATTCAATACAAAATCCACTGGACTTTATTTGTAATGGAAGACGTTTCGCTCCTCATCCGAGGAGCTTTCTCAATTCAATGTTTCTGAAACATATAAACACATTTGAAACATATAAACATAAACATGAAAGATATAATGCAACTTTAAGGCCCTGTACACACGTAGCCGGATATCAGGAAAACCGAATAGTTTATCATGCGGTGTGGCCTTTCATCCACACGTGATCTCTGGTTGATGTAACTATAAACGAATAATAACAAAAACTCCGACCAAAGTGGAGATTTGAGAAATCTCCTCTTTCGGGTTTGCGTGTGGACTTTCGGAACCGGAGATATGCGCATTATGTCTGCGACAGATGGTGCAGCGCGGCGCTGACGTCTCATGTGCAACAATTGTTTTTGTTTGCCCATTCATTCGGAGGGAAAATGACTGCGTCGGAGGACTCCGTTGGGTAATGCTCTAAAAAAAGCGCTAAAATATCAACATACTTGTTCTGACAGGATTCCCAGTCGACATTTTCCTGAGTTTTATTAACTTTGTACTCCAACACGGTATTTAATAGTAGTTCAACCTCGCGGTCTGTCCACACAAACGAACCTCCAGGCGCCATGATTCAATACTAACAGGAAGTTGTGGTTGCTTTGAAGGGTTGTGATTGGCTGATATACGTTTCACCTTTGCACTACACTGCCTCCTATGGGTTGGGCATATTCTTTACAACGCTCTGTGGTGAACATCACCGGGTTCATGTAGACGATCATTTTCTCTATCCGAACATGTATGTACGGCGATATTTTTTTGCGCAGATATTCGATTTTTCAAACACCAGGCTACGTGTGTACAGGGCCTAAGACTGATTCCCAGGCAGTTTTCACACCTGATGGAACAGAGGGGCCTCAGCTGTGAATTAGAGGAACAAAGACCTTAAGAAACCCCTACTGTTAAAGTGCTGAGGTGTGAATTGTCAATCTACATGTATGTGTATCTTATCTCACTCAGCCTTCTAACCAGAATCTCTCACTCTGCTCTTTGAATTGAGAAAGCTCCTCAGACGAGGAGCGAAACGTCTTCTGTTATAAATAAAGTCCAGTTGTTTTTGTATTGAACGTTTTTTGAATTTATCATGTCCTGGATGACTGAGAATCTTCACCAGCATCTTGAGTGCTGGTCTTTTTATATTCTGTTATTTTTTTATATCTTGTGTGATTCCTTGTGTTTGTTCCTTTGTACTGAAATAATGGCACAATTTCCTGCGAGATCAATACAGTTCTATCGTATCTTACCTCCTGCCAATCAATGCTAATTTAGTAAAACTTACCTTTAGCAGCGAACTCCATCGTGGTAACCACACCAGTCACTCCAGGTCTTCGCAAATCGAATTTTAAACTATGTTAAACTAAAAGAAGATTGTTGTCGAAACGTTACTTTTACTAAATAAATATTTTACCGTCAGAACTAAGCTAACCGAAAGAAGGTTGCAGAAAAACTACCGCTAGCTTGTTTAAAATTCTTCATACATAAACTTTACCTCAATTATTTAGAAATACAAACACGAACTTGAACAAGTCAAAACTTACGGATTCATTTAAGGTAAAATAAAATAATTGTAAAATTTTAAAAAACACTTCTGAGCTCCGCGTTACGGTTAAAATCGAAAACAAGTTGGGAAACTGCTGCTTCGTGATTGGTCGATTTTCTTCTTCGTTGATTTTATTCGCCGTTGTGATAAACCACTCAATGATGGAGTTTCTCCCCCTACTGGAAGACGTCGGTAGTGCCAAGTCACAACAGAACCTTTTTTACTGAACACGTGCTGGTCATAAAATTAGAATATCATGAAAAAGTTGATTTATTGCAGTAGTTCCATTCGAAAAGTGAAACTTGCATATTATATTCATTCATTACACACAGACTGATATATTTCAAGTGTTTATTTCTTTTAATGTTCATGATTATAACTGACAACTAATGAAAATCCCAAATTCAGTATCTCAGAAAAATTTGAATATTACTCAAGACCAATTTAAAAAAAGGATTTTTAGAAATGTTGGCCAACTGAAAAGTATGAACATGAAAAGTATGAGCATGTACAGCACTCAGTACTTAGTTGGGGCTCCTTTTGCCTGGAAATGAAATCTGAATCTCCATAAAGTTGATCGGAAGCAGGAAGTGCTGGCTGCGTTGACCTTTGACCTCAGAAAACATAGTGGACCAACACCAGCAGATGACATGGGATTCTCAAAAATGTTTATACTTTTCATTTGTCCTAATAATGAGAAAAAAAATGCATTACTTTCTTCAAAGTACTACATTCACACATATTTTCTTAGTATTTGGCAGTGTTGCCTTTAAACTGTATGACCTGAGTCAGACATTTTGGTTACCTTGCACAAGCTTTACAAAGAGTTTGCGTCCCGTTGTCCTGCTCCTCCTGACACAGCTGATGTAACTGTATCAGATTTGGCCGCCTCTTTATCTCTGCGCACAAAGTTTCTGAGACTGAGCCAGAACATTGACTTTGTTGACCTTTAGCCACTTCGTAACTAATTTGGCAGTATACGTTTTAGGTTATTGTCTACTGTATTTTTCGGACTATAAGGAACATTTAAAAACCTTTTAATTTTCTCAGAAAATGACTGTGAGCCTTATGTATTCATTCTGGGTGTACCTACTGACCTCAAAGTGACTTTATGTGGTACACGGCGATCAAAAATCTGTCAACATGTTTTAGTTTTGCTTAATGCAACTTCTTGTTAACTCTGTTCCTGCGTCAAATAAGAGCGAGACCCTGAACTGTTTCAAACATTTTGTTGCTTCTAGTTCTTTATAATGGAAAATCAGCTACTTCCCCTAAATGTTGGTTTGTGGGGGGGAAACCCATGCAAGCACAAAAAGAAGATGCTAACTCCACACAGAAAGACCCACAGGTACAACTGGGAATTGAACCAACAACCTTCTTGCAGTGAGGCAGCAGTGCTAACCACTGAGCCATCGTATTAATGTGTGAACTTGATCATTTACACTGTAGAAACATTTTGTTTCAGCACTCCGTGATAAAATGTTCTTATCATTGAGAAATACTGTATAAGAAGAAAAAATGTCAACAAACAACATGAACAAGAAGATTTTTAGAGTTTTATCAAAGTTTTAGACGTCTCCTGCAGGGAGAAAAACTGAGAGAGCAAATGTTGGAAGATGAATTTGATCTGTGACGCTTTAAATTTGTTTTGAAACCACAATTAATGAATTTAGCCACTTCATTTAAAACTTTTCATTTGTTTCAATTGTCTGCTTTTTACAGCTCGACTAGAGTTTAAAGAGGAAAAACAAAACATATAATTCTGCTTAAATTATTATTACTGCAGCAATCTGTTGCAGATGTTTGCTGCTCACAGAAACATTTCACATAAATACTGTTTTGTTAAAAAAAATCCATATTTTAAAATTATTTAGTTAAATAAATCCATTAATCGTGTCCTCAGCTGGTGTGAAAACTCAGAAGAAATTACAAACTGAACAAAAGAGAAACAAACAAAAAGACAAAACTCATTAGTTTCATTAAACAGAATTTATTGACACTGATTTGATCATAAAGCTGCTTTGAGTTAACATCAGTGTTATCCATTCAATTGTCTGATTGAAAACACAAACTCTGCAGAAACATACAAGACAAGAATGAAGATAAAATGGTTGTCAGTCACAGTGAAGAGCATCAAAACATTTTGCAATAAACGGAGACATTAATGATGAGGCAGAAGCAAGTTTCTTTACACACACATTCAAAGATAAACTGAGCAGCTGATGTTTTACAGGACCTGTGTTTTTAACAGAAAACTCTCATGCAAAGAGTTCAATAGTTTTTATGTCAAATCACTGCCTCTTCTGAACTTGTTCCCTCCAGTTTCAGAGGAGAAATCAGACTTGGTCATTTTAAGATGCATTCTACATTTTGTCCAGCAGGGGGAGACATCTGCGGCTGTAAACCAAACT